GTGACGCAGCAAACGATCTCATGGAGGAAAGGGTCAATACCCATTTCTCCGCTTTGAACGACCTCGTTAAGCTGACAACACGTGCCGAGGTTGGGAACATCGTCCTCATCATGCCATGGTACGGCAGGGGGTATGGGTTGCACCCCGATTTTGACCGTCAAATGATTCGCGAAGCTGAGGCTTTGAGGAAACGTGGACTCTGCGTCCTCGATGCCACGTCGCTTATCAAGTGTACAACACGATACGACGGCCAGCACATGGAGAATTCGGAGCACAACCGTCTCCAGTGCATTCGCTTCTATTCCGAAGCTGGCGCTCTCGGCTATCATCTTTTTCGACTTCGGTCGTGCAAGCCATTGATTGAGATGGCTGAGTTGAAGAAGCGCCGCGAGGAATCGCTGGCCAACCCTCAACCTGAAAACAACCCTCAATGGGAAGAGATGGAAGAAGTGTTGGTCTCCATGGACGTGGACGGTTGGGAAATCTATGTGAAGGAGACCCGACCCAAAGGGCAACGGCTTCCCAATGAAGTTGACCCCGCACGTGCACAAGTCGCACAGGCTCCTACGGTGCAGGATGATGCCACTGTGGCCTCATCAAACTGGCAGCTTTTGGAGTCCGTGGATGCTGCACTGCCGGGGGAACCCGAGCACTTTGAACCGCATGAGGTCAAAGAGCCGGAGATGGATGGTGAGCTCATTGACGCCATCCTCAAGCCCTTTTTGGATCGGTTGCCGGGTGTTTCCGACGAGCGTGACATTGACGAGCCGGATGCTGACGAGGAGATTGTCTTCAGAGAACCCATCGTCGGCGGCTCAGCATCAATGTTTAGCCAGCGGAAGCTGCGCTCCCATCTGATGAATAAGATCCATGCTGTGGACTTCAGATTGGATGGTTCTGGCGTAGTGAACATCTTGGACACCGACGTCACGCGTGACCCTGCCAAGCTTGAACTTCGGCAGGAATCCATGCAGCAGACCGAAGAGGGTGCAGTCATCATTCGTCGCTTTGACTTGACGGATGAGGAGAAGCATCGTCAGATGGAACGGGAGATCTTTGAGGAGCCCAAGACCGCCGAGGAGAAACTTCGCGCGGGTGACCCTGCTGCCACTGTCCAGATCATGTCGAAGGCCAAGTCGAAGGCGGCTTCCTCATCCGAAGCGGCATCATCTTCGAGCGGCATCGCACAGGTGATCGGGGACACTGTCAGCCAATTCATCAAACCTAAGATGAGGGATCAGGCTACCATGATTCAGCCCAAGCCTGCTCCGCGGCTCCCAAAGGTTTCAACGGCGACGGGAACGTCTCCCATGGCGTCCCCAAAGCCCAGTCCGCCACCGACTCCGAAGAGTGCAACTGGATCCCCCAAGCCGGAACCACCTGCACTCCCAGCGGAAGCTGCGGACCATCCAATGCCCAAAGCTTTGCCTTTTAAGGCACCGCCTGCAACGTTGACAACAACTTCACCGAGGGCACCTCCGCAGAAGTCATCGGCGCCTGCCGCTACGTCTTCGTCGGAGCCTGCCCCGAAGATGGCCAAGAAGGAGCCGCCTATGGCAAGTGCTCCTCCCCCGGGAACGGGTGGACCTCAGCCTCCGGCTGAACCGCCCTTGCGACCACAGGGGTATCCCAAGTGGTACTTTTTCTCCCCGGGAACGGGCGAGCGCAGGGAATTCACCGTTCGGTGTACAGACCTGCCAGGCCTGAGGGACCTTGGAAGACTCAGTCATGATGATTTCAAATTTTCAAAGAGGGTGACCGGGCTGCTCCGTGGATATGATCACAAATTCCTCGAGGCACATCATCGCCATATTCCTCCTGAATTTGATGAGGAGCTGCACTTGAACTTTGAGTCCATGTACGCGTACCTCCGAAAGCGGCATCGTGCTCAGCTTTCGCGACAGGACTTGTACCTGATTCTTCGAACTCAGGACAGGTTCATGTGCCGCATTCAGGCTGGAATTGTCGGGGAACTGACAACCATGGACATGCCCTACCGCATCACCCACGTGAAGGCCTGCCAAGGCCATGACCAGTCGCTCATTGACAAGGTGGGAACGGCTCCATTGGTCAAGCAAATCATCTCGCTTGACTACCAGTTCACGGTCGAGGATTTGAAGAAGGGAGTCTACCCAAGGGTTCCCATTTATCCTCACCTGGCAGAAGCCGAGGTCTCAGAAGAGTTTAAGGTTATTTACCATTACACTTCATGGGACTCCCTCCAGCAGATCATTTGCACGGGGATTTTTCCAGGGGCCACTTCATGCAAGGGTCATGCGTATATGACCCGCCATGCGCCTTGGGAAATCGAAGGCAAGGATCCTGGTGTCAGGACGAACAGACCGCTGTGCATCGCGATCGACACCGATTGTGCTCTGCACTATGGTCTTCGCCTGGTGGAAACCTTGGCCGGTGCTCTCATCACTGAGGACTGGGTGCCCAATCATTGCCTCATCTACGCATTCGATTGCGAGAAGTCGCAATACCTTTGGGCGAACCATGGCTACAACGGTGTGAAGAAGTACCTTCGGCAGAAGACCTCCGAGAACGCTCTCACTTGGCAAGAGAACGAGGCTCGGAAGGGCACTCCCAACTATGACGAACTTGAGAGGTACGAGATTTCGGACCTGGAGGTGTTGAAGAACATGTTCGTGAATGAGTACGATCAGTGGAAGGATGTCATCACTCTGCGACGTCCGCTCATTTACAAGGAAGTTCCGACACCATACCCTGTCGTCGATGAGTTGCTGCCCAAGTTCAAGCAAAGGCCGCTCAACTTCACCAATCTCCTCTGTGTGGCACGCAAGCCGACGGCAACAGCTGCTGGCTTCGACATCGCCCCTGACAACGCGCGGGAACGCCGTTCTGATCGCTTCGATCAGGAGGCATTTGACCCATCCGCGGAGGGGAACCTCACGCGCTGGCGGTATGTATCAATGCTGGCAATGCCGGAATTGACATGCCCCCGGTGCAGGAAGATTTTTCCTGAGGGGATGTTGGTTTGCCTTGCATGCGGCTTGTCGTTGGCGACAATGTCCGACATGCGCCGTGCGTGTCAGGTGTTCCGCCTGGAAGAGTTGGCTGAGAAGCTGGGCTTCGAGCTGACGTTGGATCTTCTGGGTGATGACGATGTAGCAGGCACCACACAAGGTGCCAAGCAGATCAGATCTGCCGCTGCAGTCCTCAAAAATCACGCCCGCTCATACATGAAGCAGGCGAGAAAAGCTGGACTGACTTTGCTACAGCGTCTGGGAACGGACGCCCATTACGCCTTTAATTGTGCGGTCCAGGACCTTACACCTCGGTGTATGCATTGGATTACAGTTCTGGGCAATGTGGTGCTTCCCTCCATCAAACGCACGCGAGAGGAGATCCGAACTGGAAAGATTCGGCAGTACAAAGCGCGTATGTGCATGGTCGCATACGAAGAGGAGCAGATGAAGACGATCATCGTGGATGATCATGTACTCATCTGGTACAAGAACCGCTTTTACAGAGCCAACCAGTTCGCGGCCGCCTATGCCTTGATCCCGGTGGCCGAACGTTTTGAGGTCTTGAGCGTCGCCAACACGACGTTCCAATCCCTTGCGTTGTCCAAGCAGGATGTGTATGCCGACATTCTCAGCTATGTCGAGGACATCCTGCGCCCCCTCACGGAGGCAAAGGACACGGAAGGCGGAAGCCGACCCCTACCTGCAACGAGGCAGCAGAACCCGGATGTCACCAGGTCCTCGCGTCCTGGCTATGGTTCTCATCAGGGGCCCACTCATGGCTACAGTCAGCAGGAATGGAATGACTACTACAATCAGTGGACTGACCAGGAGTGGGAAGATTGGCGCCGTCGAAATCAAGGCCACCAATACAGGGATCGACGTTGGTCGGGCTATCGCTGAGGCACCGCGGAGGGGAACCTCTCGCCTGGTGAATTTATCTTCATCAGAGGCGGGGCATTTTCCTTTCAATGCACGGTGTCGCACAGCGGAAGCTGTTGCCTTTTCGAATCTAATTCGGTTAGGCGACTAGCTTCATTTTTGCACGCGTGGGTGAGCGATTCCACGATTATTTCCAACACAAGTGTGCTAAGTCGGAATTTTTGCCAATCTATTCAAGTTCACATAAAAGTTTCATTAACGCTTTGAATACATATAATTTGAAGCAGGCATTTGGCACTCATCTTATTCTTGCCATGATTCCTTCTTGCATAGCACACGGCTGGTAGTTGCATGAACCGCAGAGCGGAAGCTCTTGCCTTGCGAAGATAAGGCAGCTTTGAAGCATTTCTGAAAGCTTCCCTGCGGGTTCACATCGAAACCGAATTCAGCATTTTGCTTTAATTCATTTTTGTTTGCTTCGGCATGCTCCCGGGCGTCCACAAGAACTTTTGATGCCGCGTGGAAACGCTGGCCTTTGTAATGGGCCACACTTCAACACGTTTGCATGTTCGACCACAAGCCCGGTAGAGCCAAAATGAAACTGAATGCATTCGGGCGAATTGACTTGCACTGCATCCTTCTTTCGCACAACGTGACGTTAGATTGAATGGATTGCTATCGCTGTTGATCTTGTTTGTCAACTTCGTGCAACGCTGAGGTGAAGAACGAAAGACTACGTCGAAGGAAGGCCATCTTTCCGGGGTTTAGGTTAATTGTTGTTTTAAATAATGGCATCCCTTTACTCTAGATAGTGCATGGCGTAATTTGCAGCTTCACCTTCCTGTGTTACACTGCACGGGGGGCGTTGATGCACAATAGTAGTCTTAGTATTGCTGTTCTCACCCATGTTACTGCGTTGCAATGGCTCAAGAAATAGTGCTAGCTGATTTGTGGCGTGTAGTGGCTGTTCACTTGTTTCTACAATATATATAAGTATATATATATATAATTAATGTATATATGTTTTCCATGAAAACTTGAAAATTTCCAGCCATGGTTGGTTTACCAGAGGCTACCTGACTTTCACAACCCATTGCCGTCCGCCTTTTGCTTCACAAGCTCTGGTGTTCCCTTTGTCGCAGTGCTACCGACGGCACCACCATGAGCGCTCCGCCGCAGGTTTCGGGCACGAAGCGTCCCTTTGCAGAGGTGTTGCAGGAACACCTGCAGAGGCTGTACGACGATGTCCTGGAGGAACACAATTTGGAGGCGGAACATCTGAGAAATTCCATCCTTTTGCTCCAAAAGCGACCTACCGAAGTGCTGCAACATGAGGCCAAAGTGGAGTGGGAAAAGGACCTCGCACCTTTGGAAGGGGAAGGCTTGGATTCGGAATGGAGCGAGGAGAGGCAGTGGGGTGCACTGAATTCCACTAGAGCCCTGGAGAATTGGGTCGAGCGACTTGGACCAGGTAGACAGATGGAATGGGTGGGGGGTGCCAGGTTCCTTTTTTCTTGGCTGTGAGAGATTTGCAGAAATATTCTCATGGCATCTTATGGCTATGAACATGAAGATTTAACTAGTTGTGATACAGACCAACAGATACGGATGCTGAACTGCCCTGTTGGTCAAAATCACTTGAACCAAACTATATATTTTGCTATTGAGATTGTCATGATTGTCTATACCGGTATACCGCATACCCAACAAATTGCAAGATTTAGTACATGGAACATGACAAGGACCCCAAGTGCGATGATGATCCATTTCCGGTCCGATTCGCTTCTCCGTTCCCCCAAGAATGGTGCCTACCGTCCTACTTGGTGCATTCCGCTTAGTAAGTTCTTCATGTACAACTATACGTACATTAGTACATATATGTGCAAAGTCCACGAATCTGAGTCAGTGACTGTGGATCTCTTCCATACTTCCATACTTCACCATTGACTTTCATTTCATATGCTTCTAGCTAGCTCCGCATTTTTCCATGTTTTTCCAAACATCTCTGGCACATCTCTGGCACTGTCTACCTCCAACCGTGACCACCGGACGTCCGCCTTCGGAACGACCCCCGAGGCTCTCCGAGAAGCTCCTCGCCCACGGTCCCCTCCAGGGCGGCGACTCCGACGCCGACTCCACGGAGAACAGCGAGCCGCTGGTGGAACTGGCCGTGGCCGGGCTGCAGATGCGAAAGGCCTGGACCATCGGGCTGCAGGAGGCCTCCTTGCTACACCGCAACCGAGCCTCGGTGTTGGGGGATCCCCGGAAGGGTGGTCGAAATGTGGTAAAAATGGAGAGAAATCTGGTAGAAATGTGGTAGAAATGGGAAGATCACCATTCCAAAGGCAAATTTCCAAGCGACCCAAGCTGATCACACACATCGCACGCAACGAAGTGTTCATACGCAGGGCAGTCATTCGCAACACAATAATCATGCGCAACACAGTAATCATGCACTATAGACTATAGCATTCATGCATAGGGCACTCATGTGCAACGTCGCATTTATGCGCAAGGCAGTATCCATGCGCAACGCAGTATTCATTCACAACGCAGTAATCATTCATACGCCACACAGTTTTCATGCACAACGCAGTAATCAAGTGCAATGTAGCATTCTTGTTGCTGTGGATATCACCGAAGTTTCTTTTTTTTGTTTCCATGGTTTCTATGGGAGTTTGCCACACCCCCTTTGTTTAACAAACGGTTGGAGTTTGCGGCGGTTCACCAGGAAATTACCGCATCTCCAACCACGCCAGCAATAGCACCTTGCGCATGCGCGACGTTCTGAAGGATCCCAGCATCTTGCAGAGCTGCGTCCTGGGCCCGCGGAACTTCATTCAGTTGCTCTGGTCCTTTCTGGGAAGTCTCTTCATCCTGTGACTGAGATGATCAGAATTTTTTTCCATAGATGTCCCAAATTCCCATTGGTTGGTCGATGAAAAAAGAAGGGTTTGAAGAAACCCCTTGAAGAACAGGTTTCTATGATGATAGATGGCATAGCAAACGCATGGAGAAAGTAGGAAAGCTACGGATGTCAAAACTGTTGGTGCTCCCTTTTGGTTCGAAATGTACAGAAAAAGACATCGGCACAGGTGGGACCTCGTCACCATTCCATTGCAACTCTTCGATATTCCCACCTTCATCCAGTTTCTGGAAAACTTTGGACACTTGGAAAATATCGTTGGACGTAGGGAAGAGGGGAGTGAAGAGACATGGGCGTAACGGCGTAACTTCCACATGATCAGACCATCACATGTGATGGACATGGAAACTATGTTCAATTCCCTCATGACATGCAATATTGGCGTAAGATCATACGAGGCGAAAACATGGTTTTTGGATATATACATATATATACTATTACATAATATACTAGTATATTGACTGGTTAGTTATCCTCCACATTATATGATACTTAGTATACTATAGTATATACTGTATATAACAGTATTACTGCTATTGAATTGACGACCATAGTATCTATACTTCTGGTTATCCTCCACCTTGTATTATGGTCGTCGAAATTCATGTCGACTTAAAGCGGTGTTGCTTTGGACCTTCACCAAGTAATGGATGTACATTTCCAAGCATCGATTATGGACATCTTAAATCAGTACGACATAGGAACCTAAATTGGAGGTACCTACCATATATAAGGCCTATGTAAGGGAATATCCCCACAAATATTACTGTAATACATATATCAAGTAGCCCTTCAAATGCAATTTGATCCGAATTCTTAGTGTGCAGGACCTAGGAATACAGTAGCGGGAATGAACATATGACGCGTAGCCAGATATGAAGACCCGTTATAAATGGGTCATAGGGTGGCTAATGGTCATTGTGCATCCAGGACGGCAAATGAAGTGCTATAAGTAGCGTGGACTGTGTATATGCCCATACTAATTTCGGCAGTTTCTTTGGTCAGTTATAGACTGTATCAAATCACGACAGCCTTTCATGCTTCGCACCCTGATAGGAACTGTTGATTGGCACCTAAGGCCAATCACATGAGAGCTGGTCAATATCCAATTGTTTTGATCAACTCTTCTCTTTTTGCTGGTTATTTGCTTGTTGGTAAGAAAGACAAAGAATGTCTTGTTGCAACAATCCATCAACCTACATGAACAAACCACTTGCTTGACCATTTTCTTACTGAATCTTCTCATTGTGTTGGTTATATACCGCCATCAGATTCACATTGTATGCGACTAGTAGCATATTCTTCTGGTTGGTATCCAAGACTAGCCATGTGAGTGTTGGTGCATCTCACCGTTTTTGCTGATTGAATCTCCAATCTTCCATTGCATGCGTGAAAAGTTAGCAACTGCTTGAGAACCCTGGTCAATAGGCCCCAGAGATATTCACAAACGGAATATAACAGAGTACACAAAAAGAAACACAGCATATCTTTACCATTTTTTTGGTGGAGATCTTTTCAAAAGATCAATCAGATTTTCATGGAATGGCGTGGTCATTTTGGAGTTCTGCTGCTCATCTGTGGTCCCCTCGGCTTGAAGTGGCTTGATCACCGGTTAGATCGAAAAAATCGACCATGAATCCAGCCGTAAAAAACGACACCTTATCTGGTTGGTGGTTTGGAACATTTTTTATTTTTCCATATATTGGGAATGTCATCATCCCAACTGACGAAATCACATTTTTCAGAGGGGTAGGTATACCACCAACCAGATATGCTCAGTTGTGGTAAAATCCCAAATTTTATCCATTGATGAGTTTCCAAAAGTGTAACTTGGTTGTTGGTCACATGGGGTTATGCTACCCCAGGTATGGGTCGAACTTGCGCCAGTAAATCATGACTAAAACTTGGCCCGTCTATGTGGTCCATTGGCAATTGCCCCATACCCACGGTCTGAGGTACAGCAATGCGTTATTACGGTCATGAATTAGCTATGGCTATGTCAATAAATACCATAATTTCATCCCCAGACTGGTCATGTTTTAGCTATGAAGGTCATAAATCCCTTTTTTTTCATCCCCAGAATTTCATCCCAGATTTCCCAGCTCGGTAAATCTGCTGATCGGTAAATCGAAAAATCCATCCCCCATGATCCCGGGGCAGAGGTATGGTGACCTTCATTTTTTGGATCCTGGACATGCCGACGCATCTGATCTTTGGTCGAGAGATCAAGGGGAAGGTGGAGCTCCGCCCAGGCCATCTGGCGCGAGAGTGCCGTGGCGGAACGGCGGCGGAACTTGGGGGGGTTGAAGCACCCATGTTTTTTTTTTGGGATAACCATCGAAAACGGAGGTTGAAGTGTGAAAACATGGTGGTTTAAGATGTTCAACAGTCAAGAATGGTGGTTGAAGTATGAAAAAATGATGGTTGAAGGATCAACATTTGTGGTTCAAGTATCATGGCCATTGGTGGATGAAGCAGGTGGGAACTGAGTTTCCGAGTTTCCCCACAGAAAGGGGCTTTGGAAGATTTCCCCATGTGTATTGGATTTTTTGAGGTTTCCTAAAATGGAGGTAACCCCAAGAACTGGATGGTTTCATGGAAAATCCCAATCGAAAAATGGATGATATCTAGGGGTAGCCCATTTTGGGAAACCTCCATATTGGGATATATTGGGACTGGAACAGATCTCTCATCTCCTTCAAAGCTGGTGCAAAAAAAAACAGTATCTCCATTCCTGGCTATCTCCGGGATTCCTGGCTCACCCCAAATCCAGAGTTTCCGTCACGTGGTGAACATACGTGTACTGACTTTCTCATTGAGCCCAAAAAAAAGGTCCATTGAATCACCATAGACACTAGCAAATTGGAGAAGTTCAAGAAGATTAGAACTACCGTACAATGGCTGATTCGTGGTTTTCTTTAGGGACCCCAATGGCGGTCAAACTCTGCAGCTGGGTCGATTGGTTGCAGCTGGAACTCCGTGAGAAATGGCCATGTCATCCTTTTTTAAAAATGGCAGTTGGGGTATGTACCATTTCTGGCCATGAGGTATATAATTATATATATATATATATTATATGTAATATAACACATATACACCATTTCTGATATATATATATAATACATATTGTTTTTGAACAACGGTATGTATTATATATACATGCTTCTGGGGCCCTTGCTGGTTTTCTTTGGCCTGCTTCCACTTGGAACGATTGGTTTGACTTTTCAAGAAAAAAACAGGGGTTCAAAAGCTGAGTTGTTGGACAGTCAAAGCGAAATGGATGAAATGGTCAATGGCCATTTCAGGAACCTAAATTGGAGGTACCTACCATATATAAGGCCTATGTAAGGGCTATTTAAGGGGATATACCCCCCAAAAATGGCCTTATATGGTACAGTATCTCTATTTTAGGATCCTGGAATTCCCATTGAAATGGGGATGGGTCAAAACCTACATTCTTATCATATTTTGGGGAATGAACATCCATTAACCAGCTATTTTTTTGTGGACATCCAGAACTACCACTCACCAGTGGGGTGAGGATCCCGGTGATTACCGTCAATTGGCAGCTGTTTCATCAGAAAATCACCAGAAAAGTACTGTAACAAAATTTGGCTTGAAGATCGATTTTAAGATGTGATGTGATCCAGTTTTGGCGAAAGCTTCATATGTTGTAGGTCTATGTGTACATCTATGATGAAAACATGTGACATGTTCCCCACCAAAAACAGATGCAGAACATGAATTCTGATCCTAAAATGGCGGCATGATTTTCACCTTTTCTGCAATTTTTGGGGGTCCACGATATCTGCATGTGGACAAGCTGGTGCGCCCTAGTGACGTCCGCCGACCTAGCTTTCCCCCTCAGCCCGAATGAAAGATGAGTGAAACAAAACCACTTCCAGTAGCCATCATGAATCAACGAAACCAGCATGTATTGCTGGTGATCTCCCCTTTTTCAATGGGAATTTGAGAAACATTTCATCCTCCATCAATTTTTGCCACCCAAAAAATTAGCGCAGCAGATCGAGGTATTTGTACAGCTGGTTCCTGCTGGATTTGATGGTCATCTCCATTGACATCGGCCTCTTTCTGGTGGAGGAACTGAGTGGTGGCTGGCGCTCCGCCCGCTTCCTGAGGCGGGAAAGATATGAGGAGAAGATAGGAATGAGTAGGATCTCATTTAAACAAATCAGTTTTTTTTCTGGGAGAGAATCGTTTTTTTTTTTAAATGAGTTGTATGTTTTTTAGAGACACAGACGTCTGTGTGTTATGGAGGTATGGGAGGGAAGAAAGCATTGAAACATGATGATACACATTTTTTTTCTGGGAGAGAATGAGTTAAGTGGGTTACAACATATGTAACTGCAAGGCAATATAATATAAGATATCACCCAAATGAAGCGCTGGTGCAATGTACTGGATATGTTTATGAATAGGTTGTATCGTGAAACCCCCATCTCCCCGTCATTGTTCACTAAAAGAAACACCACTTTTCTTGACAAAAAAAAAGCTCATTCCTGCTGGTGAAGTTCCTCGTTTTGTTGATATGGAAGACAAATCGAACTCTAGCCGCTTATCCATTCAGCTCCAAATACGTCAGTGGTATCCCATGGCGAAGGCCATTTTCTCATCTCTTCTCCCAATTCTTGGGTGTTAGAATCCAATTCTTTGGTCGTAACGTAGTAAAATCCACATTTTTCCACCAGTTGTCCTGGAACAAGTTCACTTTTTGCAAAAATCCCACTTTTATTACACTCTGGTAAACTAACATAGCTATGGAAAATCACCATTTTCAATGGGAAAATCCACTATAAATCACCATTTTCAATAGCTATTTTGACATAACCAGAGGGTAGGATGAAATCCCATGTCCCCTTGGCGTCCTTAGGACGCTGCGCTTGCTGCGGCTGCTGCGCTTGCTGCGTGTGGCGAAGCTGCAGCAGGCCTTGACGCTGCTGGCGAATCGCTTTTTGTCGGCGCACGCCTTTATGGTGATGAAGGTGGTGGCAGGTTGGGAGCGGAGGGAAGAACGGGGAAAATGGGAGAATGGGTACAGGATGGGGCCCCCAAGATAGCTAAGTTGGTTTATTTAAGGGCTGCCGCCCCTGCCGCCGACCCCGGAAAAGAGAAACTCGCAATGGTGTCAGCTGGCTTCATTCGAGTGTTCTGTGAGTTGTCAGCCTGGATGCTTTATATATACATTATATATATATATGCATCAAATAGTATATACTTGTGTGTTGAACTGAAATTTTGCTAGTCCATATCCCTGCCATGAAGCTCAAGCATCCATCCTTTTGCTTTCCGTTTTTTGGGGGTGGTGTGTCCTTCTCCCCGTGCGCGAGACATAGTCTTCGCACGGGAAAGGCACATCAGTGAATCATAAAGAGTTGTTTGAAAGCAAAAGAATGGATGCTTGAGCTTCATAACTGGTATATAACATATAAATTGTGAAAAACATGGGCTAGAAAATGCTAAGATCATCCGGAAACCATCGATTTTCCCACTCAATATATGGGGTGTTCACCAGTAAATTTTCCCCAACAAACCAATCCATTGAAGGGAAGGTTCATGGACACATTGGGATTATCAATGATAAATGGGATATGTATTGGGAATTTTCAATGATGATGTTGGGTATAATTGGATGATATTGGGATTATCACACTCTTGGGATATGTATTGGATGATCAAATTATATGGATTTTTCAATGATAATTGGATAATTGGATGATATTTATGATTTTTACCATGGTATTCATTGGGGTTCATGACAAGTTAGGATTGATAACCCCCCAGGAAGGTAGGTACAGGATATATTTTGTGTTTGTTTTAGATGTTTTCTGATGTTTATAATATTGGCAAAGTATTCTGATGACAAAATATGATGTTTCCATTGGGATTATCATACCCTTCTAAATATTCACTGGTATATATATATATACATAGTGTATATATATATATACAGTGTATATATATATAATATACAACTTATATAACTATCTCAACATGGTAGAAAACTAATGGTTTCACCAAATCGACTTATTGCAGAAATAGGATGAACTATATTGCCATATGGGTCTAACCAAACAAAATCAACGGGTCTATCCAAACAAAAATAGGAACGTCACCAGCAACTCATTGGGGTTCCTGGGTTTAACTAATGTGCCAAGAAAATGAGTCGTTGTCTAAAAAATATGGTGCCCATCCCATCGGATCAAATGATTGAGAAACCGTTTTCCATGTATTATATTAAACAGCAATTGTAGCGAATACCGCATATTCAGTGGTGATATCGTGGGGATAGACTTTGGATAGACTTGTGTCAACGTTTAAGACGTCTGTGGACCCACACGGGCCGGTTGTGTTTAGTATCAACTGTCCCAAACTTGGTCCTGAATTCTGACCCACACATGCTGGGATGGAACCAGCATGGGAGCAAATCTGTGTGTAATTTTTTAATGGGAGTAACGAGATGTAAACAAAGGATAACAAAGGATTTTAGTCACCTATATGTTCGGATATGTTCCGATTTGGTACATCAGTGATCATCAGTGTGGATAGGGGCATGTGACAATGCCTTTCAATCTTCCAGTGAATTCTTGTGAGTTCCGGGGTGTTCAACAAATTACCTTCGTCACAAGTTGATTCTTAAGATTGTTGGTTAACATCCCATTTCTGGATGGTTATTACCAGCACTTTTTAGGGATTTATGGGACCTTATATTGTTAACCATTTTCCCAAGCTATTCCTACATTCCTGTCGCTGGCGCACGTCCACAAAGGCACCATAGGGGGCTGCATTGGTGACCTTGGGTGGTTGAGGCTTGAAACCGCCCAAGAAACGGTAGCAATTTAAAGAGCTCCGATCGAGATAGAACTGAATATATCAACAAGCATGTTCTTTTATCTTCCAATGGTAGGTCTGATATTGGGATGTGATAAAAAACTTGTATCACAAATACGTGTCCTGGAAAGGTGGAAGATTGGGTAGCTATTAAATGATGTTGTCTGTTTCAGTGAATACAATTCTGCGCTTAGTGAGCAACCACCATTGGTCACGTTTTATGGAACACATCCACATCGAGGCGAGCATTTGCTCGCCGAAATCTCCACCGTCTCACCTGGATATAGCGAGAAATCTTATCCTTGGGATGCTGAAACGAAGATCGAGAAGCCAAACAACGAACTTTGGACTTGTGGAGAAGCCACGACGTCACGAAGCTGCTTCTTTTACGACATCCCCAAAGCTGTCCAGTTGTTCCAAGGGGTGAACTAAGTCAACATCTCACACTAGTGAATTGATCAGTTCAAACACCAGTTTGGTGAAGTATATGGACACTTATTTCCCAACATGTTGAATAATTTTGCTGGCCATGTCACCATGTCCTCCGCTGTTCGGAACAGTAGTTCTGGATGAAAAATCTTCAGTTGATGATAATGTAAATGTAGATAGGGATAGATAGGGCCATACTACATGGTGGATCATGGTGGCTTGATGTGGGGACTATGAACTCATCAAAAAAGTTCCTTAAAAATGGTGTTCAGTTTTTTTTTTCTGAATGTTGGGATGATGATATGTTTGTGATATTGGGATGTTTATGTTTTTTTGCTCACAAAAGCATCGGGATTAGTATTATGATGATTAAATCTGATGTTTTCATTGGGATTATTGTACTCTTGTAAATACTGGGAAAACGATATGTGTCATTGGGATGATTTAAGAGAACATCTGAAGGGAACCATGTTTTTTGTCCTATCACAGTCATTCATAGATGCAGGAAAGTGTAGGAAATAACCTTGTTCGTAATATAGAGAGATGATATCATTTCATCCTGCGTGCAATTGGGATGAAATGATGAAATTATTTTTCCAGCCGTAGCTGCCCATGGAAAAGCTAGAAAATAGGGGAACTTGCTTCTGAACACACTGAAAACCTCAGTTTCCTATTTAGGAAAACTAGGATCTTGTATGGCTATGAGCTTATTTCTGAAGCTAGGTCGTTATTTAGCACTGAATTTTTGATTTTTCAAGAACACTAAAAGTTTGTTTCGGAGTAAAGATGTGAACGATCAGTCAATGAATCGACGTACGTGACCGGTGGGAGGGGGACCCAACAGGGTCCCCCGGCAAAGGGTCATTGTTGTTGTTGTTGTTGTTCTTGTTCTTGTTGTTGTTGTTGTTGTTGTTGTTGTTGTTGTGGTTGTTGTGCTGCTGCTGCTGCTGCTGTTTCTATCTACTGTAGCTGCAGTAGTATAGTAGTAGTCGCAATGTCTTATTCCCTGGCGCGCTCCCCCTTGCGTCTGCCGGGGTCGGCGGATTACTACTTCAATTGCTTCCGGACATGTCGACCACCGACGCGTGTGCGGGAAACAATTTCGCGTGCAGGATGGAGTTCTTCGGCCGACAGCCCACTTTTCGCATACATGCCCTACTTGTGGAACCTGCGTCCAAAGCACCCAAGAATTTGGGCGAATCAAAAGCAAACACAAACAATCCAATGGTCGCGCGTGCCGCCGAACGGAATGGCATGCAAAGTAACAACAAAGAAGCTCGCAGCATGAAAACTTGCAACAAGAAAACAGGCTCGCAAATAATCACCTGCCGAAGAACCACAACATGCCCTGGAAATCACTTCCCGTGGAGAAAACACCAGGGCTCTGAATGGCTACTAGCTGCTAGCTGCTACTGGCGCTGGCTGCTGGCTACTAGCTATGTGCACCTTTTGCGTGCTCTTGCCTAACGTGTCGTCTGACACCCTAGAAAAACACAAATTTTCGATAAATTCTGTTGCTGGCGGCTGCTAGCAGTAAAACAGGTTCGAAAAAATCACCTCCCGGGGGGGAAAACACCAGGGCTCTGAAGGACGAGCGAGTGCCAGAACCACGCCAAAAAAATCCCTAACGTGTCGTCTGAAATCCTAGAAAAATCTATCAAGATTTTTTGGTACGCTGCTGGCTACTGGCCGCTGGCTGCTACTGGCGCTGGCTGTTAGCTACTGGCTATGTGCACCTTTTGCGTGCTCTTGCCTCACGTGTCGTCTGACGCCTTAGAAAAACACAATTTTTCGATAGATTCTGTTGCTGGCGGCTGCTAGCAGTAAAACAGGTTCGAAAAAATCACCTCCCGGGGGGGAAAACACCAGGGCTCTGAAGGACGAGCGAGTGCCAGAACCACGCCAAAAAAGTCCCTAACGTGTCGTCTGAAATCCTAGAAAAATCTAGATTTTTTGGTACGCTGCTGGCTACTGGCCGCTGGCTGCTACTGGCGCTGGCTGCTATAGCTACTGGCTATGTGCACCTTTTGTGTGCTCTTGCTTAACGTGTTGTCTGACACCCTAGAAAAACACAATTTTTCGATAAATTCTGTTGCTGGCGGCTGCTAGCAGTAAAACAGATTCGAAAAAATCACCTCCCGGGGGGGAAAACACCAGGGCTCTGAAGGACGAGCGAGTGCCAGAACCACGCCAAAAAAGTCCCTAACGTGTCGTCTGAAATCCTAGAAAAATTTATAGATTTAGATTTTTTGGTACGCTGCTGGCTACTGGCCGCTGGCTGCTACTGGCGCTGGCTGTTAGCTACTGGCTATGTGCACCTTTTGCGTGCTCTTGCCTAACGTGTCGTCTGACGCCCTAGAAAAACACAATTTTTCGATAGATTCTGTTGCTAGCGGCTGCTAGTAGTAAAACAGGTTCGAAAAAATCACCTCCCGGGGGGAAAACACCAGGGCTCTGAAGGACGAGCGAGTCCCAGAACCACGCCAAAAAAGTCCCTAACGTGTCGTCTGAAATCCTAGAAAAATCTAGATTTTTTGGTACGCTGCTGGCTACTGGCCGCTGGCTGCTACTGGCGCTGGCTGCTATAGCTACTGGCTATGTGCACCTTTTGCTAGCTACTGGCTATGTGCACCTTTTGCGTGCTCTTGCCTAACGTGTCGTCTGACACCCTAGAAAAACACAATTTTTCGGTAAATTCTGTTGCTAGCGGCTGCTAGCAGTAAAACAGGTTCGAAAAAATCACCTCCCGGGGGGGGTAAAACACCAGGGCTCTGAAGAACGAGCGTGTGCCAGAACCACGCCAAAAAAGTCCCTAACGTGTCGTCTGAAATCCTAGAAAAATCTAGATTTTTTGGTGCGCTGCTGGCTACTGGCCGCTGGCTGCTACTGGCGCTGGCTGCTATAGCTACTGGCTATGTGCACCTTTTGCGTGCTCTTGCCTAACGTGTCGTCTGACACCCTAGAAAAACACAATTTTTCGATATAGATTCTGTTGCTGGCGGCTGCTCGCAGTAAAACAGGTTCGAAAAAAGCACCTCCCAGGGGGGAAAACACCAGGGCTCTGAAGGACGAGCGAGTGCCAGAACCACGCCAAAAAAGTCCCTAACGTGTCGTCTGAAATCCTAGACAAATCTAGATTTTTTGGTACGCTGCTGGCTACTGGCCGCTGGCTGCTACTGGTGCTGGCTGCTAGCTACTGACTATGTGCACCTTTTGCGTGCTCTTGCCTAACGTGTCGTCTGACACCCTAGAAAAACACAATTTTTCGATAGATTCTGTTGCTGGCGGCTGCTAGCAGTAAAACAGGTTCCAAAAAATTTACCTCCCGGGGGGGAAAACAGCAGGGCTCTGAAGGACGAGCGAGTGCCAGAACCACGCCAAAAAAGTCCCTAACGTGTCGTCTGAAATCCTAGAAGGTACGCTGCTGGCTACTGGCCGCTGGCTGCTACTGGCGCTGGCTGCTAGCTACTGGCTATGTGCACCTTTTGCGTGCTCTTGCCTAACGTGTCGTCTGACACCCTAGAAAAACACAATTTTTCGATAGATTCTGTGTCGTCTGACACCCTAGAAAAACACAATTTTTCGATAGATTCTGTTGCTGGCGGCTGCTAGCAGTAAAACAGGTTCGAAAAAATCACCTCTCCCGGGGGGAAAACACCAGGGCTCTGAAGGACGAGCGAGTGCCAGAACCACGCCAAAAAAGTCCCTAACGTGTCGTCTGAAATCCTAGAAAAATCTAGATTTTTTGGTACGCTGCTGGCTACTGGCCTCTAGCTCTAACTGGCTTCTGGCTGCCTAGTACTGGTATGTGCAAACCTTTTGCGTTCTCTTGCTAACGTGTCGTCTGGCACCCTAGAAAAAATCAATTTTTCGATAGATTCTGTTGCTGGCGGCTGCTAGCAGTAAAACAGGTTCGAAAAAATCACCTCCCGGGGGGGAAAACACCAGGGCTCTGAAGGACGAGCGAGTGCCAGAACCACGCCAAAAAAGTCCCTAACGTGTCGTCTGAAATCCTAGATAAATCTAGATTTTTTGGTACGCTGCTGGCTACTGGCCGCTAGCTGCTACTGGCGCTGGCTGCTATAGCTACTGGCTATGTGCACCTTTTGCGTGCTCTTTTGCCTAACGTGTCGTCTGACACCCTAGAAAAACACAATTTTTCGATAGATTCTGTTGCTGGCGGCTGCTAGCAGTAAAACAGGTTCGAAAAAATCACCTCCCGGGGGGGAAAACACCAGGGCTCTGAAGGACGAGCGAGTGCCAGAACCACGCCAAAAAAGTCCCTAACGTGTCGTCTGAAATCTTACAAAAATCTAGATTTTTTAGTACGCTGCTGGCTACTGGCCGTCTGACACCCTAGAAAAACACACTTTTTCGATAGATTCTGTTGCTGGCGGCTGCTAGCAGTAAAACAGGTTCGAAAAAATCACCTCCCGGGGGGGAAAACACCAGGGCTCTGAAGGACGAGCGAGTGCCAGAACCACGCCAAAAAAGTCCCTAACGTGTCGTCTGAAATCCTATCCTAGAAAAATCTAGATTTTTTGGTACGCTGCTGGCTACTGGCCGCTGGCTGCTACTGGCGCTGGCTGCTAGCTACTGGCTAAGTGCACCTTTTGCGTGCTCTTGCCCACGTTCTTGACACC